TCCCCCCTGAAAAATAAATGGGGCCCAATAGAAAAGGGTTATTACTCAAATATCTTCATCATAAAATTGATCGTGTGTGTGTGTGTGTGTGTGTGTGTGTGTGTGTGTGTGTGTGTGTATGAGAGAGAGAGGAGAGAGAGAGAGAGAGAGAGAGAGAGATGGACATGTGAGCATGCGTTTTCTGAGGCTAGAGGTTGACATCAGGTATTTTTCATTCATAACTTCCTACTTTGTTTCCAGAGCTGGCCTATCTGGCTAGTCTGGACAACCAGATTGCTCCAAAGAATCCCTGTCTTTGCTGCCTGGGATAAGTGATACTCGCCTGTTTTGTTGTTGTTTGTTTGTTTGTTTTAACCAATGGGCATTTGAACTCTAGTCATCATGCTTTTCTTACAAGTGTTTTTATCTACTGAGACATTTCTCCAGTTTGTGAAATCATTCTTTGATATACATAACAATGGCAGTGGGGGATTAGATTTTTTTTAATCAAGAAAGAACAGAAATAAACTCATTAGGACAGTATAATAAGTGAAACAAAGTTACTTTTTTCCCAAGGCATTTCCCTTAGAATTGTAGTCTGGACAGGCGCTTTGAGGGATAGGGTTCCTTGGTCAAATATATATGGGAAACACTTTTGATGATGTGTTAACATTAAATAACCTCTATATGAAAATGAAAAATCATGCTAAATGCTATTAAAATATTTTAACATGAGAAAGGAAAGCATTTTACATAAGTAGGGCATAACAGACTCATTTATTCTTACTTAGACATATAAATAACCTAATAAGTTTGTTTGCAAACATCATATGCTTGCTTAAAAATATGTCATATAGGTGATTACCTAGGGATATCAATAATAATTGTGTTTGAAAGTATAATGTTTAGAATTGATAACCATGCATGGCCTATTGACAGAAAAATATGAGCCAAAGGGAAAGTTATTTTAAAAGGTCTAAGACTAGAAGGAGTTCATACAAATAACTAAAGTGAGATATCCCCTGTTTACTTATCTTTTAAAAAATAGTATAAAGATGATGATGGATATTTGTTGACTTTTTAGTCAACCTGTACAGACCTTGTCAGTTGGCCCTGGGATCTTAGGATCCGAAAGAAAGAAGCAGACTACTGTCTAATGCTGTGGACAAACTTGCTTCAGTTACAGTGTATTTTTATACATGAATGAAACAAAGAAAGCAATGACCTAAGGAAGGTTGAGTTCAGAAAAACACAAACAGAAAAACATGTAAGTAAATGTCACTTACTAAATATTAATAGAGCAGTCCTTTCCCAGAACTTTCCCAAGACAGACCAACTTAAATATAATTGCTTGGAATATACTATAGATTATGTCTGGGAACTCAAGAAAATGGGGAAGAAGGCCATATCCATATTCAGTGTACACTGACCAGATTGGGTTCTAGAGCTATGTACTGATATCCAACAAGAATAAAAATATCTTGCAAGTTAAATGTAAAAGTTTAACATGGGAGGAATGAAATCACATCCAAGAACAATCCAGGAAACAAAATGAACCTGAGGTCAAAGAGCCTCTGCCATTTTATTCTGGAGCCTCTCTCATGGTTCCCCAAGGCACTGATCACCATGGATCGTTCTCTTGACTGTGTTCCAACAGATACCCACGAATCAGGTAGACCTATACAGAGTCCAGCCATCAAGTAATAAAGTGTTGGGATGTGATATAGTTAATAGGTTATTAAAGTTGAAATTGTTGTGGTAGCTTTAGTTGTGATTCTCCAAAATTATGACCAACTAAGATGTTCTTCAGTGTGTGAATTAGTAAACTTTGACTAACCCAGACTTAATGGATTACCATTTGGTGTTAAAGAGAAAACAGTCATCAAAAATGAAATTATTCATGTGCTGGGGTGCCAGGGCAGAGATCTTCCATATATACTACCAAACAAAAGGAACTAATTTGAAAAATTATTTACAGTATGATTCCACCAGTGGGGAGAAAAGTTTAATTGTAGTTTGGGCAAAAAGACAAATGGGGAACAGAGGACTAGATAAATGGCTCAGTGATTAAGAGTGTACACTGTCCTTGCAGAAATACTGGGTTCAGTTCCCAGAACCCACACTATGTAGCTCACAACCACCTTATCACCAACTCAAAGGACCTGACATGTTCTCTTTTAGTCTTCCCATAGACATGCACTCCAGTACATATTCATTCCCATAACTAAAAGATGATTCAGATAAATCCTAAGCATAGACAAGATTGTCAAGGGTTGAAAGGAACAGTGGAAGAGTAGATGGATCACAGAGGATCTTTAAAGGCAGAAAAAAAAAAAAAACATTCCTTAGGATACTATGGTTTGTGATACATATAATTGCCATTATTTGTAAAATCCAACAGCTGTAACAGGCCAAGAAGAAACCTTACTATGAATTTAGTATTACCATATATTCAGATAATGATTGGTCAGTGCAGAAGAAAGGTGAGAGAGTGGAAAGTTGTAAAACATTTACTTTCCATCCTGTTTTGCGGTGATTGTAAGGTAGAAACCCCATTTAAAAGAGAAATCGCTCAGGAGAACTTCAAAGAAACAATTCTGAAAAGCTGACAGACTGAATGAGGGCCCTGTTCTACAGAGATCTGACATTTAAATGCATAAGCTCTAGGTGTAATTTTACTTAAGATTGTCAGTGTTGTTTTGGAGTCTTTTTTAAAAATCTAGATGTCACACCATTGCAGATAAAATTATCCTTAATGTATATGATAGTTTTCCATTTGAACAGAAAAGTGTAGTTTTAACAATAGTCTTTGTTATTTATTTTGGCATTGATATTTAATATGAACAGGGAAGGATTTTCTGAGGGGTATATATGAAGGGCAACAGTTTGAATAAATAAAAATCAAAGGTGTATAACAACCAGCCACCAAAAGAAGAAATATATCAGCTGCCATTTGACTGAAATTTCCTTATATATATTGCTGAATAATTTTTTTAGGTCATGTGATTGGCAGACAAGAGTTTGATACATTTTTGAAACATGAGATGGGCCAATGGTATGAGTAATCAGAGATGGTATTGTAGTCTATTTATAATTAGCACTAATTTAAACATTTCACGGACATGAAGCTTACAAATTACTTCCAAATTTCTTTCAATAATATCTTACAGTCTTGATACTCACTACATAATAAAACAAGGGCAATCTGGTTTTCATATGGGAGTTCATGGTCTAGATTAGTCTGTTGCCAATTAGAGCAGAATTATAAATACAAGCCTAATTAATGGAACTAAAAATCTGTATATTTCAGTTTATATCCTTCATAGATTAGTCTGTAGTGTTGGCACAGACCTTTGATCCCAGCAGTGAGTAGGCAAAGGCAGGTGGATCTCTGAGTTTGAGGCTAGCTTGGTTTACAGAGAGAGTTTCCGGATAGCTAGGGCTACATAGAGAAACCCTGCCTATAAAAAGAAAACAAAACAACAACAACAAAACAAAAAAACATCACAGTAATGTCAGAAAAAGGTTAGCCCCTTGAGTGAACATTCCACCTCATTTAACTGGGCCTACTTTAGCCTTCATTCTGGGAACTTTTAAAATTAGAGGTGTCTCCTGCTTTCTAGAATCTCCATGTAGCTCTACTATGGAGTTTCTGTGTTTTTAATCGAAGCACTTCACCAGTCAGACCCTCAGCATAAAATCTTGCAAGCTGTTGCTCTAAATCAATGATTTCTTCAAACTCTAGTTGAAGACCAACTTCCAGGTTCTTGTTCAAGGGGGTCATATATTTTACCACACATTCTTCAAGTGATCTGTATGTATATATTTATTTAGCTAGCTAGTTGCTTTATTTTGTTTGTTTATCCTTTCCTCCAGTTTATCCTTTTCTCCAGTTTCTGTTAAGAGCAATGAAAAGGCTCTGAGTGAGTGAGGGAAGAAAGCTGCCAGGGTGGCGGCGTTACTGTCCATGGTCCTGAAGCAGCATTGTTTGAGGAAGATGTTTTCTAAAGCTTGCCTTTGTCCACTTTGTCCACTTTCCCCTGCACGTTTTAAAGATGGTATAGGAAGACAGTTGAGTTCCATGTAATTTCCTAACAACTTCAAATTTGTAACTTTGGAGCAACAGTGGAGGAAAATCTCGCAAAGGGTTAAAGGGGAATAGGATTCAAGCTTCACTAGATGCAGGGCCATCTGAGCACTGCATGAACAAAAGATTCCAAGGTGGTGGACGAAGATTCCAGAGGGAATAAGCTTCGACTGCGTTCCAAGCTGCTGTAAGCTTTCTTCCACTTTTCTGCTTCGATGTAGTACAAAGAAAGCCAAAGTTGTCATTCAGCACTGTGGTCGAACAAAGGCAATTGTAACTTGTGCTTCCCTGTGTACCGTCTTTTGCCTCTAAGTATGTCTCACAGTCATACCCCATCACCAAGCTCCCAGTACTTCTGGCTGGCAAGGCACACATGTTTCTATTCATGCTCTCAACTCGTGTAACCCGTAGAAGGACAGAAAGTGGCCCTAAACATCATATAGATACTTCCACATGCCCAGTGTGCTTAATACAGACAACTGCAATGCCTACCCTAGAAACTGCGTCCACAGAGGTTTGTTAAAGAGCTTCGGCCCTGTTATCCCTAACAGTTCCATCCCCTTTTCAGGTTTTCCCTGGTTCGTGGCTCCAGGTTCAGTAGGGCTCCGGCCTCCTGCTGCCCCATGGTCCTTGTCCAGCCCTCTATAACCCTTGCAAATCATTCGGAAGCCCAGCCCTTCCTGGCCGGGTCTGCATCAAGCTCCTGGTCCCCGCCCAGAGGGTAACGCCATTGCCATGGAGACGGCACCTGCGCCCTCTGTGGCGCCTTTCTCCAGTCCCGCCCCTCGTGCGCTCCCGGACCACGCGCCCGCGTGCTCATCCCTTGCCAGCTCGGGCGCGCGCTCCGGCCTGCGAGAGAGCGGCTACGCGTGCGCATTGGGTGCCTCCCCTAGCGGCGATCCGGGCCGCTGCCGCTCGCTCGCTAGGGCAGGACGCGGGGCGGGCGGGGGGAGGGGGGAGCGGCTTTGCTGGCAGCCCTGAGTGAGGCGGAGACCCGGGCGGAGCGGGCGGCACCGCACCTCGGCCAGAAGCAGCTGCAGCAGCTGCCCTAGTCCCCACCGCCGCCTCTCCAGCCTCTTCTGTCATTCCACGCCAGCTGCTGCAGACAGAGGACGAGGAGGAGGAGGCGAGAAACTCCCACCGACCCACAGAGGTGAGTCCCGGGCAGAGCATCCTCCATCCTTGCCTGCCTCCCTCCCTTCCTGCCCCCCTCCCATCCTCTCCATCCTCCCCTCCCTCCTGCTCCCCAGCCCTCCCGCCCTCATCCTTCCCAACATCCCTCTCTCCTCTCTGCTCCTTTCTCCCTTCCAGCCTTTCTTTCATCCCTTTCTTCTCTCACCCAGCCCTACTTCCTTCCCATCCTTTCTTCCTTCTCTGTTTTCCTTTCGGCTACTCACCCTCCAGCTCATCTTTGCATGCCTTTTATCTGTCTTCTCTTCATCTCTTTTCACCCTTCCTTAACCTCACCCCCTTCCCGGTGGGTGGGATGGTGGGGAGTATCCTTGCTTGCTACAACTGTCCGGATTCAGGGGCTTCTGGAAAATCGGTCTCGTGCACCAAGAGACGCACACTCGCACAGAGAATGCCCCGCAGTTCTTTACATTGTCAGGATTAAGGGTCAAGTTGCATAGAGTACTGGCAACTGGAAGGGACAGAGTGCAGGAACAATCTATGGATACATGCTATAAAGGGGTGGGGGTGGGGAGGTTGTCACTTAGATGTTTCCAAGCGTTCCCCCCTCCCCTCTTCAGTTTCTTCCTTTCTTTCTTCCTCCTGGGAATTGAATATTCCCACTGTGTATCGCACTAATTTGAAACCCAGCTCTCTCTCTGCTTTGATTGTCGTCTCCATGAGAAACCGCAAGGAAAGAGAAGCCTGGAAGGGAACAAGAGAGAAAGGGGAGGGGAGAGGAAGGGTGGCAACAGTGGAAGCCTGTATCCCTTCCCTTAGGCCTTTCTGGATTGATGGGTTTTCAAGCCACCCGCCTAATATTCAGCTTGGACTTGAACCCCTGTGTCCTTGGCTCTGTCACTACCTACTTCACAGACAGAAACTCTCTCAACTTTAATGCCGGTGCATTGCACAGTGTGTTTTGCTCACTATGCAAACACCCTTGGAACTTGGTTTGACGAAATAGGAGGATCCACTTTTTGCTCATCCCTGGTTAACTTCAGGATGAGAATGGGTAGCCAGTTATTGGAGAATGAGGCTGCACTGTGCTTTCTTGTAAACATATCAATTTTGATAGCATTGCTGTGTGATAGGATTCAGCACAGGCACCTTCGGTCCTTCACAGCCGCCTTAGAGAAATGCTGATATTTGTAGAAAAATGTTCCATGAGACTGTGTCCATTCCTAGGTGTACACTTACTGAAAAGTTGAATTGCTTCTGGGGATTATTGTTAAGAATTTAACGTTTTCAGTCAATTTTCTTTTCATCAGTTACTTGCACTGAATCCTGTATTCGACACTGCTTTCTTTAGCTTCACTCAAGCCTATTTCAGTTTATATCAAGGATGGCATGGCAGTTCTGTTTGCAAATGTTTCTGGACGATTTTCCTTAGTGTTTACTTAGATGGTAGGGTGGCAATGCTGGATCAGTGTATCATCTCAGTGAGTCTAATTGCGTGCACAAAACAAACTGAAAAATTAAAGAACTGTATTTTGTCCTGTTGAAATTCATCGGAACATTAACACCTCCCCCAACCTTAACTTTAAGACAGCTAAAATTGTATGTATAAATAGTATGTGCAGAGCAACCAGTCAATAACTATGGTGTGGGGTCGGATTTACTCCTTTTCCTGAGATTTGGATGACATTCCAGGAGTGTAATAGGCACTTTGCATTTCATGTGAATGTCCAGGAGGACTTCAAATGAAGAGAATTGCCTTCTGAAGGGACAGTGCAGACCTGAGTCACAGCTGATACCTCTGATGTGCGAACTAGTGTTTGGGAAGTGTATGATATTAGGAAACAAGAGAGGTCCCTCCTTTTACCTTCCCCTGGAGGAATGCAGCTCCTTTCATGGCTTGGCAGGTTTATCATCCATGTGGCAGAAGCTCAGTTGAGTATCATTTACTAATGTCTCGAGGTCCAATTGTGGCCAATCTTGTGTATGTTTGAATGGTTATATCAGTCGACAGTGAATCTGTACACAGGTGTGTGTTTTCTTTTCTTTTCTTTTTTCTTCTTTTTTTTTGCTATTGCTGATTCTTTTCTTGCACTAAGTTTCAGCCAATGAACAGTTTTCATGGCAATCTGATGGGGATAAGTTTGTTTTGTTCCAACTTACTTTCCAATGCTGTTTCCCCTGCCAATCTATTCACTTGCTTTGTGTGAGGAGTGTTCTCTCATCAGGCTGCTTCTGTGTTGCAGATTTTCTGCTCAGAGTGATGAGTGTGAGGAGGGCGTATCTCAGGTAGGAAAACAGTGCTCACTATGGGCAGGAAGGCACATTTTATCTCACTCTTACCCATAAATATTCATCAATATTGCGAAAGTAGAGTGAAGTTATTAAAGAAATAGAAAATGAAATATTTTGTTTATGACACTATCGTAGGAGAGTAGATAAGTGAAATGAATAAAATATGAACTACAAAAGGATTGAATGCATAAAGAAGTAATTTGATGTAGCTGGGGTATTGCTCAGCTATAGTTTGCTTCCACAACATGATCCAGGCCCTTGACCTGTTCTACAGCACCCCCAAAACAGAACACAAACAACACAAAAGTAGCTTGCCACTCTAACAAGCACATTCACATATATGCACTGCCTTCTTAAGAACTTTATTTCCAGAAGGATTTACCTTTAATTGCATGGGCCTTGAAAATACAAATAAAGACTTCTTATAACATATTGGACTCCCACAGGAAATATTCTTCATATATTCCATATGCCTCCCTCCTTTCACCTCTTAATACACATGCAAGCTCATTCTGTGTAGTGTGAGCTATGGAAAAAAAGTGTGAAGGAGAAAGTCACAGGTCTTTATCCTCAGCTCATAGGTCAGTTGAAGGGAAAAGGTGTTTGCATTAGGTTCAGTTTCAGAGCTGCAATGAGCTGGGTCTTTGGAGAAAGTTTCCAAAACGAGCTCAGTTTTTCTTGCTTAAGAACACTGTCCTTACCTGCAATTTAAGAAACTTGCCTTATCAGATTATGATTCACGGAGTTTGCTTTGAGGTTGAATGCATTTAGTGCAAAACTTGGAGCAAAGCATGTTTTGCATTAGCATTATTGTAATTTGTTGGACAGATTTTAAAACATTCCAAGACAGTAAATGGGATTATGCACCTCAGTGGTGGAAGAGAGGTATGGCAGCAGTTCTGAAGGGGGGAGATGTTTGTGTGACCAGGAAAAATGTTTTATTTAGTAGGAGCTCTCAGGCTTGCATGGATATCCCAGAGAAGAATGTGCGAGGATGTGGGTACCACAGCTGGATTCAAAGCACATCAACAAGACAATTCATTTTCTGGACTATTTGTTAAAAAAGTGAACGCTTGAAAAGGTGTTAAGCATGTCATCATAGTCAATATTCCACCACCTCAGATAAGTCAATTAGTCATTGGAGAAAGTGTTTTATTTCCATGTCCATCATATCTGGTCCTTCCTCCTATCATAAGACACAGAACCTAAAGTCTGTGCTACACTTAGACTTTTTTTTTCTTTTTTCTTTTTTCCTTAAACTGTGAGACAGAGGAAACACTTGACATTTCCTAGACAATAATTGTTTAATACTGTTATGATCATACCTCCCCTTGCCTTTACTTACCCCATGGGTGTTCCAGGATGATACCTCTGAGGAGATGTTTTAACATATACAAAAACAGAACTCTTGAAGTAATTGTATCTCTTGGAGCTTTATATTTTACTCATGATATTATCTAGTTGCTAATTTCCCTTTCTGTGGGGATGCAAAGATATTAATGATTCCAAAAGAGAACATGCTTATTTGATATTTTATTGGTAAATTAACATCTGGTGACAGTAAGAGGATCTGTCTCTGACTGTCTTTGTCCTGATAACATTAATAATCTGGAGGGGCACTGGGCTTTGGTGGCACATTCCTTTAATCCCAGCACTCTGGAGGTAGAGAGAGGTGGATCTCTGTGATTTTGAGGACAGCCTGGTCTACTGAGCAACTTCCAGGACAGTGTACAAAGTTGCAGAGAAACCCTGTCTCAAAAAACAAACAAACAAACAACCCCCCCAAATCTGGAGGGGCAAATGTCCATAGACAACATCTTCTGGACAACTTTTAATTTTAGTTGAGGTTCATAGACTATTTTGTGGGATTTTTACATCTAATAGTGCAAGTGGTAGGAATGGAATTCTTTCATCTAAAAGTGAATTTCCAGGAAGTGCTCTCTGCAGTCAAGTTCAAAGTAGTAGCGTTTGCAATGTTTATGTTTAATCTTTTAATGCATGCACACAGCTACATTGCCTTTCCCTTGTAGTAAAAAGGTTTTCTTATACTTATTTTCATAGTTCTAATAGTGGGTAGAATAGGTTATAGTAGTCATCAGCAATGAATAGAATATAGAAACTGGAATCTTAGGAAGGTTTTTATTATTGCTGTTGAACACTTCACACATATGTCACATACCCTGATGATTCTCAGTCCCACATCCTTACCACACCAATCCCTGAACCCTCCCCTCCAAATATCTTTCAAATATGCTGTCTCTTTGTAACCCATTAGGATTAACCAGAACTCTGTATGTAGCAATGGCTCAATAAGGATCCAGTGGACCTATTGGGCTCAGCAGGTAAGGAGTAGGCAGGCCCTCTGTCATTCTTCACTGATTGTTTGATGAGTCACGTCTTGTGTGTGTCCAGTACAGGTAATTACAGTTGTGAGTTCATGATGATAATGATTGAGTGTAGTCTAAAAAAATGGCATTTCACAACCTTACTGCCTTCTAAGTTTTATACACTTCTGGCCCTTGCTTCCATAGTGTTCCACAAAGGTGGTGGCATAAGTGACTTGTTTAGGGATGTGATGTCTTTATTTTCTACTTTGAATTCATTCTCTGCATTCAGATTCTTTAAAGATTCCACCGATCTAAATAAAATATTTAAGAAGTGTCTTTTCTGCTTGCTTTTACATTAAAGTGACAGAAGATTTTGCGAACGAAGTATTTCATATATTTTCAG